GGGCGGCGTCATCCTCTTCTCCTTCTGCCTTCGGTTGCAGAACCAGACCCGAACCACCTCCTTTTCCAACTGGAGGTTGCCCGCCAGAGAGGATATCTCCTGCGCTGCCGGTTTGGGGCATTTCAAAAAATGGCTCTCCAAGGCTCCCTTCACGCTCACCTCGATGGAGGTGCGCTTCTTTCGTTTCCTGCCTTGAGCTGCTATTTTGTCGATGCTGGTGGGACTGCCCGTGGTCGAGTCGGCCTCCTCTAGCCACTTGTTCAGCAGCGGCTTGAGTTTGCACATGTTTTTAAAGCTCAGCTGGAGAGCCTCGAACCTACAAATGGTGGTCTGCGAGAAAACATTTCCGTAAAGAGTTCCAAGCGCTAACCCGACGTCGGCTTGAGTAAAACCCAGTTTGATCCGACGCTGCTTAAACTGTTTGGCAAACTGTTCCAGGTCGTCGGAGGTCGGCGTGTCCTCGTCTGAGTGCGAGTCGTGGCTGTTCACTCCCGCGTGGTGCTGGTGGTGGTGGTGGTGGTGAGTGTGCTGCTGCTGCTGCTGATGATGGTGGTGGTGGTGATGGTGATCCATTTCTGGAGAGTCTCCTCGCATCAGCCCCGGGTGGACTAAACTCCCGGGAGGGTTCAACATCCCGTTGACTGTGAAACCACCCGTTTGGGAATAAATGAGAGCCTGCTGGGACTGCTGCTGACCTCCGGTGATGGTCGGGATGTGGGAGGCTGTGGTGCCACCCCATGCGCTTTGGTGCGACTGGTGAGCCCCTAAATGCGAGGGTCTGTGGTGCAACGCGGTGCCCGAGTGTAAATCTTCTCTGTTTGAACTGTTCTTCACGTCTTGTTGCTGTGGGCTACCGGCCATGCCAACTGGGCTGGAGGACCAAGGGGAGCCGGCTTCTGCCGCTGCAGCGGCTGCGGCGGCGGCGGCCGCGGCAGCCGCATGTGGCAGTGAGGTCACCCATTGATGGGCATGGCTCAGCATGTGCCCCCCGTTACTGGCCGTCATGGCTCCTTGCATGAAGTCGCTCTGCACCATCTTGACCGCGGGGTCTCCTCTGTAACCTCCCGACACCGATGTTAAGGCACCGCTTCCCGGCTGCATGCCACCACCTCTGGACTCCGAGTGCACGATCGAGGCTGATGAGAGAATGCTGTTGCTGGCCAGGTAAGGATTGGAAGCCGCTGTGGCCATCCCCCCTCACCACTTTGAACAATTCTACTTATTATTCCCCCTCCCCGTATTGTCGTAACTTCTTTCCAAGCCTAGAAGGCACGCACTATTTCATGAATTATTCAAGCTGGAAAAGTATGCGTGGTATTTTGATTTGGTCCACCGACAGCACAGCAAAAGATGGCAAAAATATATCCGTCAAAACCTCCTTTTTTCATAAGCAAAAGGAGAAAGAAATACCATCAGCGTAGAAATCCACATTATGCACGGAAGTGATTTTTACAATTGCATTCCATTCTTAATGTCATTGTCTTAAAGACCAATTATGAAACCAAAAAGTCTTGTTAGTTCTTCTTCACATCAGCTTCACGTCTCGATTACACAAATCCCACACCGAGCTTCATCGCGCGCTCTCTTGACTTGATGTGGAGGCTTATCAGGAGACGCTCCTTTGTAAACTTCTCTCTTGTCCTGCAACACACAAGGCGTTTTCTTACCGAGTCTTGCTTCTCATATGTCTTCTTTTCACAGAGTCCATCTGACTTTAGTCTTCAATACGTTCAATTGCACACAACTCTGTTAAATACACGCGCAATGGAGAGCTTTCGCTGTCCTCGCTCGCTCCGTTCCTCTCTCTGAGCGCGAGAGCACGCGAATGTTTACGTTCAGCCCCCGCGTGCGCAAACCATCCACATCCTTCACCCAATTACCGCGAGGAAGTTTCTGCGAGATTGATGCTCATTGGATATCCTCCGGGAGAGTGACAGATCTTAGGGCACAGCTAAGAAATCACGTCAAGGCGTTGCGATTTGCTATGTCTAATTTGGAGATGTCAACATACGAATAAAAGTGACTAGACCTTCTATCCGAGCAGGAAGCTTTAGTTGATATAATTCTAGTGCACTGTACTGCATGATTGGCTTCTGTTAATGACGCAGTAGATGTTTTGTGTTTGTTACAGAGGACATTTTTGACTTGTTTTCGTCTCAGCGTTCAAATGAAATTATAATTGTGTATGATATTTTACCTATGTGCATGCAACAAACAAATAGGGAAATCAGAAAAGATACAGATAAAACAATGCAAACAACAGGCAGATAAAACATTAAGCAATTCAGCTTTGGCTTAAGGGTACAAATGAGTAAGCATAGATTAGATTTTTATCCAGACAATGTATGTAATCTACTGTTGCCACCTAGCAAGGACCGACAATTTAACGGAAAGCATTTTTCATAGTTTATTCAGATTTATTCTAAGAATAAAGCAGACCCATTTCAAAGCACGAGCCGTGTACACTTTTATTGATTTATTCAATTTATGAATTATCTCCACCTCTCACAACGAGGTTTAACAAAATACTTATAAAATACAAAAACAAAGCACTAATAAACACAGTCTGTCATAATAACACCAAGTATTTCATATTGTTTAATTTGTTTAAATGGCAACTCTGGTGCATGAAACCTGAACAAACGTATATCAGGCCTTTCAGATGAAAAAAGAACCATCAGATGAATAATAAAAAAAAAA